GACGTCACGTCTATCTACTCGTTGTCAGTCTATCTACTGCAGTGAGCCACAGTGAGCGGTGCAGCGGTGCAGACTGCAGCGGTGGGAAAGAAAAATAGCAGCACAAACTCGCAACGGACACATTCGACACTGGAGATTAAGTGTTGCCGGACTTGGGCCCGGTGAGAAGAACAGTAGAGATGCTGAAGCAATTGCAGATGGGGATGAGAGCTTTCCTCTTAATGGCCTCCCGTGTGTGGACCTGCATCTGCTTTCTACTCAAGAAGCAGGTTAGAGCCGTAAGTAGGTGCTTCGCGAATCGCGCCTCTCTTCGCGCTTTCTTCCGCAGTCAGGCACGATGCATGGATATGTCATATTACGTATACCGCACTTACGAGCCATCTAATCGACCAATCGTTTTCTCAATCGCTCTTCTACTTTTATCGCGATAGGTGGATATTATTGACATTCGTTGATGTAACACTCTTCGATGATACCTAGTGGTAATTTGTTGCTTTGATACAGCTTTGCACGAATCTCTTCATCTTTCTCGTCTATAAAATTCAATCTATATAGAAAAATTACTATAAACTATATGGACAATAAGAGCATATACACAGCGTGGCTATTGGTGCGCAAAGTTCTATTCTAATTAACAAATAATGTCTACATGGGATATAAATGTACAATAATTATCTGTACCATATTATTCGTACACATTTCGGTTTTCTTCAAACCATCATCAGCGAATCCATAAATGCTATTACAGACATGATTTGTTAATTATATAGAAATTTGCGCACCAATATCCGCACTCTGTGTATATATGCTCTTATTGTTCATACATTTTATTGTATCTTTTAATTTTGAGAGCCCGATTAATATTTATAATTTAGTATTTTCAATCTACATGATTTGATATTGTAACAACTATCTGAAAAATTATTTTATAATAGCAACAATTTTTCTACATTTCTCAATTTTTTTCTCATTAAAAAAAAATAGATTTAACATTGCTATGTTAAGGGGTAGGGTGAAAATTTATTCTGTTTATAAAAAGAACTCAGTTTTATTTTCTTTTTTTAGCTGAGTCTCAAATCTTTCAAGTTATAATTTTGAAATAATGAATTATACACTAGTTGCTCTCTTCAGAAATATTCATCTTTTTACGTGTGACTCGTGTTTGTTTTCAATCAAGATGCGCAAGTTAGAGGTGTAAGTAGTTCCTTAATGCTGCCATTTGATATTTACATGTGTGTATAGTTGTATTTTTACATTCTGCTTACATTTATATTTTTATTATTTACATCTCATGCAATTGCCATATTGTGATATTATAATTACAATTATTGTAAAAGTATTTTTGTTTATTTCATGTAATGCAGGTATATTAATCTGTTTTAATTTTCTTGTGAGGGTCACTTTTTTTTATATATTATAAATGTAATATACAAATAATATATTTTTTTTACCATTTTGTTGTAGATCTCACAGATGCAACCAGTCAAATATGAGATCTTCCCGCTTTCACCTTTATCTAGGCACAGACTTAGTAAGTATTTCAATGATGTATACACATGAATGTTGTACTACCTCGCGTTTAATGTTTTTTTCAGTATTTATGTTTAATGCAAGAATGTTTCAGGTATAGTTAAAAGAAAAGTATTAGTGCTGGATTTAGACGAAACCTTAATTCACTCTCATCACGATGGAGTAGCAAGGCCAACTGTCAGGCCTGGTACACCTCCAGATTTTGTTCTTAAAGTGACGATAGACAGACATCCTGTTAGATTTTTTGTCCATAAAAGACCACACGTAGATTTTTTCTTGGATATTGTTAGTCAGTGGTAAGTATGTATATATATATATATATATATATATATATATATATGTGCTAATATGTGCTACTATTTAAAAAAACACTTCCAAAATTATATTGGCAACGAAACTTCACAATTTTTTGCTTAGATTTTATTCTCATGTTTTACGATATAAGTTTGCATTAATTATTTCCTATTATCTATATCAATTAGGTACGAGCTAGTAGTTTTTACTGCATCCATGGAAATATATGGGGCAGCAGTTGCAGATAAATTAGATAATAACAGAGGTATTTTAAGGCGTAGATATTATAGACAACATTGTACGCCAGAAATGGGTTCCTACACCAAGGATTTATCAGCAATCTGTTCAGATCTCTCTTCAGTCTTTATTCTTGATAACAGCCCAGGAGCTTATAGAGCTTACCCACGTAAGTATATATTTATACCATTTTAATGGGATTACTTTTTCTTTTACTGTCTTTCACGTCTAGATTTTATGAAATGAAAGAGTCAATTTCTATTTCCTTTAAAATATCCAACACATTTGTTAAGTGCATGTAATATCTTTTACTATAATATTTGTATGTATGCGTCATTAATGTGTTATCCCATCTTTCTAGAAATGAACAAACTTAACGATACCGTATTTAATGTTATCTGAGCAAACGTGACAACAATAATTTTGAATTTTGTTTTTAAAGAAAGATACAATACTATAATATATAATACGTATGCTATTTAGAAAATAGAAAATCTATACATTTCATTTTCTTGATTGCGACGTAAAAACGTATCTTTTCATGATTTGTCTTATATTATAAAAGAAATGCACATAATTTTGTGATGAATAAAATTAGAAAGATTAATAATGCGCTACTATATGTATACCATTGTATCTTCTTTCTTATGTCATAGACAACGCGATACCCATAAAATCATGGTTCAGCGATGCGGGAGACACTGCTTTGTTAAGCTTACTTCCAGTTTTGGACGCTCTTCGTTTCACGCAAGATGTACGATCCGTTCTTTCAAGGAATTTACATTTACATCATACTTGGTAGCATAGCTGAGATTAAACACTATACTAGATATTCTAGAGTTGGAACTATTAGCAGTTTCAGTTAGTGTGTCTAGCCTAGGATTATTATTGTTATTAATTAAAATAGCAACACTAGGTCGCTGCCCGCATAATGAGAGCCCTCCCCTTCTTCAGTCTTTCTTTTTCTATACTTGAACGGACAGCGGCGAGTAAATACCGAAGAGAATGGTATTCAGCCAATGTATAATTACATAAGCACAAAGCATCCTAGGATAATTCTCTTTACATTGTACAGTCCATGTGTGCAGAATCATAAAGCAATTTTTTTTACTTTTTCTGTAAGCCTTTGCCAAAGATCAAGATATGAAAATAAGATAGAACCGCACTAGCCAGCAGGATTTTTTATTTTAGGTATGTTTAAAACTAATTGAAACTTTTATTTATATATTTCGGCAGCACATTATGGAAGATGAATCAATGAAATAAAGTACTTTTATTATTGTATATTATTAACCTAGGATGTATAGAGTGAGAGAGAGAGAGAGAGAGATGTACCTAAGTCAAATGGATTTCGCTGTAACTCACTGTATCAGTGAGGCAGCTGTCCTGGTTATATCTAATAAAAAAAAAGTATTAATATAAAACCAGGAAAGAGTGAACATCTGTTCTCATCAAGACTTCCGCGATATGGAATATTACATGTATGATCTGTAAGATTGATTGCGTTAATGTGCGCTCTTATATGAAGAGTTATAATATGTGACTCTCATCAATACCTTGGTTTTCTTCACATAAAACAGTTGCAATTAATAAATAGATAAACGAGAGAATACGTTTTTAAAGAAATGTGTTCATAAATATCTTGATATAATGTTCAAATATTCATTAGCCATTATCATAAATTCTTATTTTTAAATAATAACCTTGAGATTGTAAGATTGAGGCAAAATCGATTTATACATTTTTCTTTACAAGAATTTTAACATGATTAATCATTTATATACATACAAAATGTCCTTTGTACAATACTCATATCGCTTACACTTTTTTGTTTTATTATATGTAAATTTGTATTGCTTTATAATAAAATATTTAAATATTTAATTATAATAAAAAATCTTGTTATATAAACTGTACTATATGATTATACCTTTCTGCATAAATCAGATTATATATATATATATATATATATATATGTGTGTGCGTGTGTGTACAAATATGTGACACGTAGATATAAATAGAATTATCTTAAATATGCGAAATGTTATGTAAAAGTAGACAAATTTTTCTCTAATTTGAGAAACACATTTGTTTCATTTACATATAATTGAGTATATATAATTTATTTATTTCATACTCATGAAAGCTGAGAAAATTAAATCACATGTAAACTCTTCTTGTAAGTGATATATAATAGCAAGTTATATACACGACACATACACACATATGTACACACATTTGTGTACTTTGTTTGCTTATTGTTAGTAATACAACAATAATATCAAATATTATACAGTTTGTACATATTACTCGAATGTATTGTGTATTGACGCAACTCAAGTATGATTGATTTTTGTATGAATGACCGATATAAATAAGTTACAATACATGGACTTCATCTAATATCTATATATGTATGTTGAATGTATGTGCGCGCGCACATACACACAAACACAAACACACATACACACATGCATTTATACATAAATGTAAAATCAATTTATTCAATTTACATTTAAAAAGTTAAAGAAGAACAATACGCCCATGTGTACAAGATTTAGCGATATCAGTCATCCCTCAATAAAGGTTTTTTAATTAAAGTTATCGTTTTTCTATTATATATTATAGAACTTGTGTGCTCTCTTTATTGTACATAACAATCATTTTTTTTTTCCAAGACATGAGTCATGGGCAATAGAGTATTCTATGGAAAATGGAAGTAAAGTTAATTTTTCAATTTATTTATTCAAAAATTATATCTGTACACATATGTATAACACTGTCTGCAATGTAACGCATACAGATATTACATATAGAAGTATACTAATTTCTCAATTTGCATTACGGTACAATTCCATTTTCGATATAAAATTTCAACATTACAAGATTCTTAAACACCATACCTTGTATTGTAACTGTGTCTTCGATATTTTTAATTCTAGATTTAAATATTAACACATTTACATATATATTATATATATTAAGTAATTTATTTCACGGTGTAGAGAATTGCTACATCTTTTTTTTTATATCTATAATTTATCTCCACACAAAGCAACTAAACGTAATTCTTACAAGCTTACAAGGACGTTTCTAGATGTGTAATTCACACAATTATTGAATCCAAAGTATGGCTTTTGCTCGTGTAAAATTTTTTCAAAATGCATTTAAAGAATTTTCTAGTTTCCCCTTTTTTTCCGTGTTTTTTTTCTTCTCATTCGTCTTATATTTGTACTACGATAACGTATCAAAGTAATTTTTTAAAGAAACTATTAACAGCCTATTTACTTCTCATATAAAAAGAAAAAATTTTATTAAAAATTGCGAGATCTGTAATTACATTGGTTTAATACATTTATTCAATTGATTTGCTATGTTATTCTGGTAAATGACACAAAAGCTGTTCTTTGTAATGGAACATTGTTTGATAGATATTAAAACATGGACAAAGTTATGAATACTACCAAAAATACAGATCGATGCTACTAGTATAAGTACAAGATGCTAAAAAAGGGTTCAGATCCTTTGATCATTTTCTTTCCAAATATCCTGTATGAAAATAACATCAAGCATCTCTGTAATATATCATATAGTACTTATTGAAATTATAATCCTTTTACTTTCAATATTATGCCAAATATAACGCGTATATCGAAGACTATCATTATGGAAGTAATTATGATGAACTCAAAACTACTAAACTTATTCCTTAGGTGGATCTTCTCGAATCATTTCCAAAGAACTATCCGAATTGTTAGTACTGCTACCACTTCCAGCATCATCTTCTCGTTCAGTTGCTTTTTCTTGGCTTACATTTGTTGCACCCAACTGCCATGGTGGTATAGATGCAGGGGCAGTAGGAAATTGTTTTCTATTTTAAGATAAAATTGAAAATTAATAATAAATAATATAATTGTAGACAATGTATAAAAATTTTCAGTTACAGTTAACGTTTTTTGTGCATTGAATTGATGATATAGACAAATAAATATACATAGTCTAATCAGAGAGATGCAATAAAAGATTACTTAAAAAGTGCAGATGGTCAAAAATAGGAATAAGATGAAAAAATGCACAAATTTATATTTTAAAGTTATATCTTGTAAAATAAACTGATGTTTAAATAAAAATTACCAGAACATCCAGGTATAAATTTCATAAGCAATTTCAAATAAAACTATATGTACGGGAGAGTGTGAAGTTGTAATGATGTTTGATCTCTTGTAAAAATAATGATTTTAATATAAGCAAATATCACATACAAGAATAAAATGATAAATAATGTCTAAATGAAATAATCTCATTGTGTGGCAATAAATTGCTATTACTGACAATCTATGTGCATTGCTTATTGTATACGCTTTATATAAAAAGGAAGGAAAATGCATACATACCTTGATAAAAGTAATGCTTTTAGACTAGATAAATCATGTTTAAGTTCTTGCACCAGTTGTGGGATAGTTGGATCCAATGCTTGATGCTGAGTCCATTTTTGCACTTCACCTTCTACCTTTAAGATAGAATCTTTCACTTCTTTCATGGAATTTTGGACGGTTTTATCTAGTTCGGTTACCTTATCTTCTATGCACCTTTTCTTTTTCCGACCAAACAGAAAGGGTTCTATAAATTTCTACAAAATTAAAAATTGCATTGTATTTCAATAATATAAATAAATGAAATATACATATATATTATATACAATTTTTATTTTATATGAGATTTGGTTATCATGGAAAATTCAAAAGCAAGGTACTAGAAATTTTTGTAACGTTTTGCACACATGAAAGAAAATAAAATCTTGTAATTTCTTTGCACTATAAACAATACCTTATAAAACCAATATGCACAGTATACTGTGACACCAATTAATGCAGTTGCATTAAAGAATTCTTTAATTTTCAACAAAAATGTCGGTTGATAAACATTCATTTGATGACATGGATGAATAGATTCCGATGGTATTTGTACAGCAATATATGGATTCTGATTCTGAAGAGCATTGCGATCAGCTATATTGTCAACAGATGCTAGTTTGAAAGCTGTTTTAATCTCTTCATCCGTGAGGCCTTTCCTTTTAAGAAATTCCTGCTTTTGCGTCAATGGACTCGACAATACTTTAGGATTTTGTAGAAATTGCACTGCTGTTTTCACCTTTAGAAATATTAATATTTTACAAGTTTCATAATAATGTAAATTTATACATAAGATAATGTGTATGCATGTTGGCTAGAGTACTTTTAGTATATACATAATTATACATGCATAATTTAACAGTGAAATTTACAGAATAATTAAATACGGATATATCTTGCAATTTTTTAATTTACATAACCCAACGTGATAAACGATAATTTACCAAATTCTCCCGTAACGGAAGAATATTATTGTTTGTATCTTGATCAGTCATTCTGATTAGCCTTTGACCATTTAACTTTCTCACTTGTTATAATCAAAAGGACATTACCATGCAAATTGCAAAGTCCTATATTGCAAACCGCAAATCACATTTTCTCGATAAAACAATTGCATGCACGCGTGTGGGTGTATATATATATATATATATATATAGCATGAATTTATTTCGCTTGCGCGCGAGAAAGCTCGCTAGAAACCGAAGAAGTGCTATCTAGACTCACTTTGTTTCTCGAGGTTTTGAACGAATTTATAATTGTCTGTCGATAATAAAGATTTTACATTTAATTCAAAGATGTAGGCACCGAAATACTATTAGGCCGGTAATCATAGTCAGATCTTATATTCAAGACCGTCTTAAGTACAATCTTAAGAAGTCAAGAACCAATCAGAAGGCTGTATTAACGTCTTAAGACATTAAGGCCCGTCTACAATACACGGAGTAAGAAGTAAGAGTAAGAAATTGACCAATCGCAGTCGAATGTGAGAAGAATAATCGACTGTGACTGGTCAATTTCTTACTCTTACTTCTTACTCCGTGTATTGTAGACGGGCCTTTACTTAAGTCCGGATCTACAATAGATATTTTAAGCTTTAAGCCGCAAGAAATTGACCAACTACATTCGAATACGAGGAGAATAATTGATTGCGATTCGTTCATTCCTTATGGCTTAAGGCTTAAAAATCTATTGTAGATCTAGGGTAAGACGGTTTGGAAATAAGACTCGACTATGAATACCGACCTTAAAGACGGTCAGTGCTCATGGAAATTCGCGTGCCTGTTAAAATTTAAGTGATTAATAGTAAGAAACTAATAATTCAGTAGTAATTTAATGATTTATTAGATTCATAGACATACACCCAAGGACTTGGATTCTTTCCCACGGAAATTGTCATCAACTGAGAAATTACCACTTTTCTACATTAATGCTCATAGTCCGTGCGCCATTAGGGCTGCTGCCAGTGGCTGG